TATGCGCCCCACCAGCTAAAGACTTTTATAAAATTAATACATAAGGGATACTTATAGCTCTAATTATTAAAGAACTAGTAATAACTTTTATAAAAAACTATATATTAAGTAAGAGGATACTTTAGTAGTATTAAAATAATATTATAATAGCGCTATTATACTAAATATTATGAACTTAAACACGTGAAAGGTTTTAAAAACTACCTTATTATATTAAAAGTGTAAGGGATATTACTTATAAAGGATATATTATATTAAAGACTATATAATATATAGTAATTATAGCTATATTATAAAATACTATAGTAATTTAATAAACTAGTAAAAAAAACCAGCTACTATATTAAATATTAAGCTAGTAAGAACTTAGTAATAAGATATTAGTTTTTATTTACTTAGCTTTAGGCCTAATATAAGTCTATTACTTTAATACCTTATTTAAATTAAAGTATAAAAAGGATAGTAAAATATAATAGCACTTTTAAATAATAAAAGTTAGGTTAATATTATTAGTAAGAGGATTATAAGGAATATGCTATTATTACTTATTAACTTTATAATAATAAGTGCTTTTATTACTATACTATAAGAAATTTATAGCTATTATAAATAAAAATTATAACTTTATAATAACTTTAATATAAAAAAAGAGCTCCTTACTATCTTTATTATAGTAAATATATAAGAAGATATTATTTTAAGATTACTATAAGAAAAGTAATAAAATATTTTTACTTTTATAATATAAAACACTATATAATTTAACCTTAAGCTATAAGATATTAAAATTATTATATTAAAGGACTTATAATATACTTATAATCTTTTTAAAATAGCACTAGAGATTTACTTTATTAACTTATAAACCTTAAGACTTTATTTAATATAAGCATCTTACTATTTAACTAAAAGTAATAAGAAAGGGAATATACTTTTATAATATTAAAATTATATAAATATTATAAATAAAAATACTATAATATAATTAGCGCTATTAAATAGTTTAATATATATAATTAACCTTAAACCTAAATATAAACCTTTATAAAAATTAATTTATTTACTAGTAAAAAAAGAATTAGTAGTACTTTATAAGTATATTAACTATATATTATTTAATAAGTAAATTATAAAATTATCTAGTTTATATAAAGCTTCTGTATTATTTATATTAAAAAAGGGGGGAAAATTATAACTTTATATAAACTATTATAAACTTAATAAAATTATAAAAAAGAATATTATACCTTTACCTTTTATTTATAAAATTATAAACTAATTATAAAAAGTAAAAATTTTTATAAAACTTAACTTAAAAAATACTTACTATTATATTTATATATAAAAAGGAGATAAAAAAAAAATAGTATAGTAATATTATTATAGTCTCTTTTAATACTAGATTTTACTATTTAGCCTTATAAATACCTTAGCTACTTAGCAGATATATATTAACTTTATTTTTATAAGACTTATTAATATTATATATATTATTTATTTAAATAATATTTTAATTTACAGTTAGAATAAGTAAGAGTATAAAGGATATATTTATATAATCCTTAAATAACTTTAACAGCATAGTCTTTATATTAATTTAAAGAAATGTAAATTTTATATTAATACTATTTTATATTTAGGATTTATTATTAGCTCTGCTAAGGTATAAATAAAAAAAGATTATATTAAAGTTATTATAAACTAGCTAGAATTAACCTCTATTAAAGCTATATTAAGATTTTTTAGATTTTATAATTTTTATTAGCGTTTTATTTATAATTATAGTAAAATTATAGTGCCTTTTACTAATTTAATTAGTAGTAAGAAGGATTAGAAATTTTAATTTATATTAGTTAAATATAAAGCATTTAAAATATTAAAAAAGAAATTTTATAAATAACCTATTCTTATGCATTTTAACCCTGCAGCCTAAATTTATATTAAACCTAATATATTAAAGTATGCTATTAATATAATACTATTAATCCTTATAAATAGGTAATAGCATCCTATAGCATACTTATTATAAAAACTTAACCTATTTAAATAATATTATACTATACTAGATATAAAAATGCTTACTATTACTAAGGTATTTTAAGTTTAGTAATATTATATTATATATACTGCATACCTAGTTTAAGTATTAACTAATTACTTAAACTATACCTACCTTACTATAAAGAAAAAGCTATTAACTAAGTAAGTGTTATAATTATAGGAATTAGCACTTTATAATTTTATAATTAAATTCTAACTAGGAAAAGCTAACCTAGCTAATATATTTATAAAGCATAATAATATTTATAGTAGTAAAAGATAAGATAAAATAGCTTATAGCTACTTTAAACTGTTTTTTATATAATTTTATAATAATTATAGTTTAGCTATAAAGTAAGAGGGAACCTAGAACTTTAATATCTTATTAATAATTAGTTACTTAACCCCTAGGTTATACCTAGGGGCGGTTCCTTAAGCTAAGAGGGCTATAATTATAAGTATATAAGTAGCCTGCTTTTAGTATATATTTAGGTTAACCTTAAAGGCATAATAAAGTGCTGCTATAATATTATAAAAAGACTAAAAAATACTTAAAAAGGCATTATAAAAAGCTTAATATAAGGATGCCTATATATAAATGCTTATGCAGACTCTTAAAGTTAATAATTCTTTTATTAATAGCATGTATATTAAAAAGTAATAGACTTATAGTATAGACTAGTTATTATAATATTATAAATAAGTCTTTATTTTATATATAATATACTTTAAAATCCTTATGCTATTTTATAATAATCCTATAGTAGGATATTAAGGACTTTATAAAATAGTAGCTAGGATTATATTATATTACTATTAGTAAGGTATAAAGTAAGATATTAAGATATATATTAATATATATATAGTTTATTAAAAAACTAAGCTAAAACACTATTAACCTTATAGTAAACTTATCCTGCTACTTACCTTAATATAACTATAGTAAGAGATATTTATAAACTTTATTATAAAATTACTAAAAGTAATTTATAATAACTGCATATATAATTTAATTTTAGTTATTATTAATTACTTTATAAAGTATATATTATATATTCTATACTATAAAAATATTATAAGTGCTAGACTAGCTAAAATATTCTACTATTATATCTTTTAACTTTATAGTGTTTTAAATAGTATTATTTCTAACTAAGGTTTAGTTTTTACTAGCTAGTTTTAATAAAGTTTTTACTACCTTTTTATAGCTAAGTAGTAATTAAATATTATATTTTATTTATAAATAAATAGCTAAATAAAGAAATAAAACTAAAATCTTAAATATTACTTATAAGCCTTTTATAATAAGAACTAACTTAATTAGGTAAATAAATTGCCTTTAGCTAAGTTTACTTATAATACTGCATAATATTTATTAACAGGACACTCCTTAAGTTAGCTTTTACTTAAATATAATTTAAAAGCTCCTAGACTTCTTTAAAGCTAAGTTAAATATATAAATGCTTTTATAATTAAATAAGTCTAGTAAATGCAGTATACTTATAAGGATATTATAAAAATATTATAAAATAGTATTACTATATATAATAAATAGTATAATATAAAATAAACTTAAAAAACCTTTTATATTAGTAATTAGGTGCTTATTTCTACTAAGCACTTAAACCTATACTGCCTAACTTATAAGCTAGTATAAAAATATATAAAACTATATTAAATTAAGAAGATTATTAGTACTAGTAAACTAGTATATTAATTATACTTATTATTATTACTTTATATTTATAATATTTTTAATATTATTAACCTTAAAGAATACTATAGTAAAAATAGATATTTATTTAAACTAATAAATTATCCCTTTATATTAAAGGAAATATATAAAGTTAAATGCATTTTTATATATAAGTATTAAGGTAAATAGCAGCTTTACTTAGTTAAATAAAAAGACTATTTAAATAAGGATAATTAATAGTTAAAATATTTAGACTTTATAAATAACACTATAATTAAGGAATATAAAGATATAATTAAATAAAGCTAATATTACTAAATATTATAATAAGAATAGTATAATAAAAGTATATATTATTTAATTATATATTAAAAAAAGAGGAGATATACTTAAAAATACTAAAACTTTAATTTAAAAAATTATTAAACTTTAACTTCTTATTATCCTTTTTACTACCCTCTGCCTTTTTTTTTACCTCCTCCTTTACCTCCTTTATTACCTCCTCCTTCTTTAATTCTTCCTCCTTTAACTCCTCCTCCTCCTCCTCCTCCTCCTCCTCCTCCTCCTCCTCCTCCTCCTCCTCCTCCTCCTCCTCCTCCTCCTTTATTACACTTACTACTAACTTCTTACTATTAGAAATTATAATATAGCTTCTTTTTAATTCTTTATTAAAGCTAATAATAATAGGTTTCTGCTTTTTATCTCTTTTTATAAGAAATAGGACTTAAAACTATATTATAAATTAGTAATACTATTATACTATAACACTATATTTATATACTATACTTTTTAATTAAGATAATACTACTAAGGGTAATAAAGTATAATGCCTATAGCGCTTTTATTATATATAATGCATTTATATTAAAGGTAAATAAAATTAAGACTTTTTTATAAATAGGCTATAGTATATATTTTAGGCTACTTTTAACTATCTTTATTTATTATTAATATGCAGATATTATAAAGTTATTATAAAAAGCACTTATTATATTATTTATAATAATAGCTATATTTATAAAAATGCTAGTATTAATTAAGGAATTTATAATAAGTATATATATTTTATAATTAATAATATAGTATATATAATAAACTATATAACCTACTTATTATTAGTTTTAATTATAATATAATAAGTATATTATAATCTTACTAGTATTAGTATAGTAGCAGCCTTTAAAAGTATTACTATTTACTAAATTAAATATAAATATATAATTATAATACTTAATATAAGGAATATAGTTATTATAATTATTAGTATTTCCTTATTATAAACTACTATTAAGGACTTATAGTAAATTATAAATAGGTATAAAAGGGGGGGATATTACCCCCTAGTAGTTATTATTATTATTATTATTTAGCATTTACTTACCTATTAGTATACTATACCTTATAATATAATAACTTAACACTTTATTATAATATCTTTATAATTAAATAGTATAGCGCGCTTATATATAGCATATACCTTAAAGGAGAGAGTATAAAAAAGAAAAAAAAAAAGAAGAGGAAGAAAGGTATATAAGATCTTGCCTTTTATATATATATTATTATATAGCAGTACCTGCTAATTTACTATATTAGCACTATAATATAATAATAATTTACTTATTATACTTTTACTTTATTTAAAAAGAATAACTTACTATATTATATTATACTAACTTTACTATAAATATTTTATTAAGTATATTAAAATACTATAATAAAAAAAGGGCAACTGCTTATAAAAGGAAAAGAAGCCTAAAATAATATATTAAATTATTAACTAAAATTAAAAATAAAATATAAAATAGCTAAAAAAAGGAAACTAAATACTAAAGCTATTATAAGTGCATATTTATAACCCTGCAGAAATTATATAAAGAGATATAAAGGCGCTTTAAAGCTAAAAGGAAGTTATTATAAAAATTAATAACCTCCTGCTAAATCTTATTAAATAATTACAGTAACTTAAACCTTAACTATATTTATTATAAAGAAAATATAAAGGAGCGCCTTTTAAAAGTAATAAAGGGATAAGAATACTTCTTTACCTCTTCCTTAAGTATATTTATAAAGGGATTAGAATTATCTTAAAAATAATATAAAGAGTTCTTATAAAAAGACTATATATATTTTTAATAAGGTACTTATAATACTTTAATATATGCCTAGAAATATAAGTTTAGTATTTAGGCTAAGAGTAAAAAAAGAAAATAAGTTATACTATATTTTATAAATTAGCTAATAAGGCAGACTATAATATGCATATAGCCTTATATATATACTTAAGTAATAAGATATAACTACCTTAACCTTAATTTTAGGCATAATAAAAATATTTTAAGAAAGCAGTAAAAGCCTTTTAATAAAAGATAAAAGGCTTACTTACTTTTTAATATACTAAACCTTAAAAGTAATACTTATATAGCACTAGTCTGCTATAATATTAATATAACTTTATAATAAATATAAGGATATAATAGGCATACTATAATAAGGTTTTAAAAAGGTTTAAGGCTATACTATCTCCTAGTATAACTACTTCCTCCTTCACTTCCTTATTATTTAATATATTATTAGGAAAGTTTTTTAAAGAGATTAGCATAGGCTAAGGTATTTTTTAAGGGCGTCTTTATAGGTAATATATAGGAGAATTCTTAAGTAAAATAATAGCCTTTAAGTAATAAGTTTATAAAGGTATTATAATAAAAAAGTATAAAAATAGTAAGGAAGTATTATAATTAAAGACTAACTAGGTAGAAAATAAGTATATATATTTAAGAATAGGCTATATTATAATAAGTCCTTAAGGCATATAAAGACTATTAAATAGGCCTAGACTTTAATTAAATATAAAAGAATAAGATAAATGCTAGAAAAATAAATAAAAGGCAGAATAATTATATTAAAATAATACAGTAAAGGAAGGGCAACTTATTAAGATTATAGTATATAGTCTTTATAAAAAGGCATAGTTTTTAAAAGGAGTTTAGTATAAAGTTAGATTAAATATATATAAGGTTATAATAACCTTAATATAAAGTGCTTATAACTTTATAGCATTATTATAGCTATAAAAGGAGTAAACTATCCTTTTATTTTAAGGAGGTTTAAAGATAAATACAGTTACTTATAAACACTTACTTTTAGAAGTGATTATATAATTAACTCCTAGACCACTTAGTAGTAACTAATAACTATATACTAACTTCCTATAACCTTAGTTATCCTCTCTCTCTTTTTACTTCCTTATATTACATGCCGGCTCTAACAGAAAGATTAATATAAAGTAAGCTTAAAATATTATTTTATATATAAAAATTAAAGCTAATTATAAAAAGGCCTAGAAAGCCTTAATAAAGTTCTTTAATTAAATAGCAGCTAGTAATTATTAACTATTTTCTTAAAAAGTATTTTTTTTAAGTAGATTAATTTTTATATTATTAAATTAAATAATATAAGAATTTTAGTTAAAGAATAAACTTTTTAATAAAAATAGTATATAAAAATATAAAAAGTATTCTTTTTATTAATATAAAGGATTTACTTTATTTTTATATAGCTATACTTTAAATATTAATAAAAAAAGAGTATAATTATAACTAAATAGTAATAAAGTAAAAAATAAGGCTTTATTAAACCTATATTAGCTAAATATAGCTAAAGTTACTACTTACTTAAGTCTGCTATATTATTATTAATCTCCTTATATAAGACTATTACTATATTAAAGCTAATATTAAATAAAAGCAGGCGCTATTACTATATTTAAAGTTATTTTATATATTTATATAGTAGTATACTTTATTATATATTTATTATATTAAGAAGAATATTATTCTTATTATTAAGCTATTAATAAAAAATATAATTTATTTTTATTAATAATTAAATAAGCTTTTAATATATTTCCTTATTATTTACTATATAAAGTTATTAACTTAGTATTTTAAAATTTATATAAGCCTTTTTTTTATAAAGTAATTTTATTTAAACTATAGTATATTTCTATATAAACTATAGTAGTTTATATAATAGCTAAAAAGATACTCTTAAGTAGTAAAGTCTATGCCTATATAATAAAATATAATATAATATACTAGTAGTTATTATTATTAAGAAGATATTACTAAAAGGGACAGTAGCAGTATTAGCCCTAACTATTACTAGGTTGCTTATAATCTTTATATAAGTAGCTGGCTATAACTTAAACTTATAAATAACTATAAGAAGGCCCTGCTACTACTGCCTTTACTGCAGTTATAGCTTTAGCCCTTAATAGCAGTTATAATAATAAAGGCAGAGTAGTTTTATTTAAATAGTTAATAATCTCTATTTAAATAGTAGGAGTTTATGCTACTAGCTAAAGTAACCCCCCTTAGTACTTTTTACTATACTTATATATTAAAATATAGTATAGTATACTAGCAGTTATTTTAAAGGGCGCTAAATATTATAATTATAGAATTAGCCCTGCTACTACTACCTCTGCTGCTGCTTTTACTACTATCTCTGCTACTGTCTTTACTGCTATCTCTACTACTGCTGCACTTATTACTGCAGGTATGCTCCTTAATTCTAGGTTAATAATAATAATAAGTATTGCTGCAGGGGCTGTATAAAATTGCTAAGGGGGCTATAACTAACTTAAATAGGCTTAGTAAGGGTCTATATATAAGGACTTATAAAAACCTTTTTTAACTTTAAAAATATATAATTAATTCTAGAAAAATACTATAAAGAAAAAAAAATTATTTTTAAAAAGCTTATTAAATAAACTAATATATTCTAGCTAAAGATTTTATTTATATTTATTAAAGGCCTAAAAAACTTAAGTTTAAGTTAAAAGCTAATTTTTAGCTAGATAAATGCTTATATAAGCATGCACTTAGTATTTACTAATAGTTTATAAAATGCTTTTTAGTAATATATAAAAAGTTACTTAATTTTATATAAAATTTATATAAAAAACTAAGCTTAAACTTAGCCTAGGTTTTTACTATTATTATATAGCTTATAAAAATTAATAAAAATATTTTAAAAAAACTATATAGTACCTTTAGCTAATAAATTACTTATATATATTTTTATTATATTTTTTTAAATTTTATTATATATAGAAAATATCTTATAAAAATATAGTATATAAGAGAAAAAAGTAAGGTACTTAAACTACAGCCCCCCTAGTAATTTTATATAGCCTCTGCAGTAATACTTATAATAATAATAATAAGTCTATTAGAGATTATAAAATTAATATTTATAATATTATTATATAGGTTATAGGCATTTCTATTAAAATACACTATAAAGGGGTGTATAGTTATAAAAGTGCTAGTATAGGCGCAGTAAATTTAATAAGTATATAGACTACTACTATTTAAATAAAGATTCTTAACTATTTAAATAGGACTACTTTAAAAGCAAAGGGTCTATAGTATTAAAGATTATAATACTGTTATTTATAGTATTATTATACAGGCTATAAGATATACTAATAGCTTATACTATAAATAAGTATATAGCTCTAGGACTAGTATTATAAATATAATTATTTTAGTATAAGTATAGTAATCCTAATTATATTTAAAATTTATAAAAAAAGCTATAACTTTTTTAAAATTAAAAATTACTAATTAATATATTTTTATAGCTAATATTAAAAAGCAGTTTTATTATATAGCTAAATATAGCAGTAGTATTAATATAGCTATTACTTTAATAATTACTACTTATACTATTACTATTTTTACTAACTTTAAGCTAGTAAGGTAATAGCAGGCTTAAAGTAAGTATTAAATATAAGTAATACTATTTAAACTATACTATATTACTATTTAAATTATAATAGTCTATGCTTATACTAAAATTATTATACTTATACTACTATTACTATAACTATATACTTATTTATAGTATAGAATAATAGTAAGGCTAGTAGCCTATATAATAATATAAAGACTTTATCTTTAGCTATTAAAATAAAAGGTAGCAGCGCCTTACCCTTATTCTTATTTATAATTATAGCAGTAGTAGCAGTAGTAGTAATAATAATAGCAGTAGTAATAGCAGTAATATAGCCTTATTTTAATTATTTATAAGTTTATAGCTATAGCTAGAAGTTATTTTAGCTACTTAGCTAATATTAGCAGCCCTTATGCCTTTTTTTTAATAACCTCTTCTTAATAGTAATAACTGCTAGTATGCTATATTATATTTTAATATATAGGTATAGACCTTATTACTTAAGGGTATTCTTTTAGCTATAGTATAAACTACTATAGTCTAAATAATAATATAGTATAATTTAAATAGCATTACTCTTAAATATACCTATATAATAATATAGGTTAAGGCTACTAGTTAAAGCACTTTATAAGCTATAAAATAAAAGTAATCTTATTTAAACTATAGTATATTCCTATTTAAATTATAATAGTTTATATTATAATTAAAAGGACACCCTTAAATAATAAGGTCTATACCTATATATTAAAATATAATATAGCATACTAGTAGTTATTACTATTAAAAGGATATTATTAAGAGAAGGGTATAAAAGTTAAGACTAGGTAATTAAGGCAGGCTAATTTATTTAAAAATAGTATTTTCTTTATTTTTTTATTAAATATATATATAGTTATAACTAGGCTAGCTTATTTTAATTCTCTTAAACTGCTAATACTAGCTAGGTACTAGGGGGGTCTTAGAAGTTAATTACTTACTATATTAGTATAGCTAGACATAGGGGGGTTAATAATTAGGAAAATGCGCTATTAATTTAGAAAAAATTAGGTACCTTTATATATACCTAATTTATATAGCAGTATAAGTTACTTTATTAATATTATAAATTTAAAAATTCTATATATAACCTGACTATTTATTTATTAAATAAAGCTATTATATAAGCTTATTAGCACTTTTATATATGCTTATATTAAGTTTATTATATTTATTATAAATTTTATTATTTTCTTTTTTATTTTTAATATTAAATTTATCCTTTAGTATACTGTATTTTTCTTTTACTACTATTTTTAATCTATTTACTTTAAAAAAGTATTTCTAATAATTATAGGGTTATTAAAATATATTACTAATAGTAAATTATATTACCTTTTTTATAACTTTATAATTATAATTTTATAGCTAGGTAATAAAATAGTACTTAAAAAGGGATCTTAATAAAAAAAGCTTATAATAAAGAGAATATATATTATAAAGCCACTTTATTAAGTTAAGAAGCTTATAGCAGTTAGTTTTTAATTAAGAAGTATAATGCTAGTCTTTAAGCAGCTTTTATTACTTAAAAACAGTCTTAACTTAAAATAGCCTTATACTTTTCTTAATTATAAATTATATAGCCTAAAGCTAGTATTATAAATAAGGCATTTTATTATAAGCTTTCTTTTTCCTTACTCTTTTTACTTTAACTGCTTACTTTACTTATTTATTATAATTATCTTTAGTAAGCCTAAGCCTTATATTATAAATAATTAATAAGCTATATTACCTTATAATTAATATCTAGCTTAAATAGCTTTACCTTTTTAAGTTCTTCTTTTTTAAATGCCTTATCTTATTTATAGTAATAATGCTATTAAAGGCAAGGGTATATATAACTTTCCTTACCTTCTTCAATATATAAAAGATAAAAAGGAAGTAAGCAGCATACTAAATAAAATAAAGGCCTTAATTTAATACTAAATATAGTGATAATATTATTAAACCTTTTAAATATATAGCTTTAATATTAAGATTATATTTTACTAAATCTAGCTGTTTTTTTAGTATTAAGAAGTATTTCACGTAGCTTTTATATAGCAGCTTTTATCATCATTTTATAATATCACATAA